TACGGAAACGAATTGCAATATCCAGTGGATAGAGTTATCCACCTTTTGAACACCTGTGGCCTGGATTTATATATATCGACCAAGGAGTCAAAAAATATGAAATGTATGAATATTCTTTTACCACTAAGGTATTGTCTATTGAATTGTCCCTTTAATAGCCGATCTTTCATTTACAATGTATGTATTATTACTAATATGGTATTGACACACAATACGTCTGGTTGTCTGAGGTAACCCATGCCAAGCACGCGAGCTACCGTAAACGAGATAGCCTGCGTAGCGGGCCGACGCCGGTTCGAGGCGTTATAATGACAATGATAATGACAATGCTTTATTTGGAGTCTTATACAGTCCCATGTATAGTTGTTTCCTACAAAAAAATCCGCCGTCCATCTTAATTTTCACGCCCTCGACGTCCCTATCCCCTTTTGTAACGCCGTTATTTCCAATCACGCTGTCCGAAATGAGAACTCAATCGATGGATAGTCGAAAGGGGTACCCAACGACAGTTTCCTCCTAAATACATTGAAAACACTTTTTAGGCTATCCAGAGTACTTTTTTTTTTAAGACTTAACCGAACGGGAAAGCGCGCACGAAAAGCCTCTAGCACCCAGGTTAGAGTACTTTTAGATCTGTAGAAGTATGTATACATTCCCGGCTATAGACTGTTCACAGTCCCCTATTTTTTCGTGAGATCGTTTAGATATACCGCGTCTTACCGTCACGGGTATCTTGATTTTCGAATGTACCGAGGGGGCGGGAGTTGGGGATTATAGCTTGCTCCCAAACCGCCCCCGCCCCTAAGTAGTTTTGACACTCTTGCAAGATGGCAGACCGTCACGCAAAGCGCTCGATCCCCGGGGCTCGATCTCGATGATCTTAGGGAAAAATATGGTCTGCGAACAGTCTATCCCGGCTAAGTGGCACTATAAACACAGTGTATCTGTTCGGTCATCCTAGGGCAACTTGAATCTTTTCGAAATTATAAGGGCTTGAGTATTAGTATTTTCCCGAAAATTTTAGAAGCAATTTCACGTATTACGAAAGTGAGGCATTTTCTGATTCCACTCTCCATCACATGTTTTAGATTTCCTTTTCTCTACGAAAAATAGCCTAACTTGGGGAGTGAAATGTGAAAATTGATCTTCAGAAAATTGTGGGGATTCATGAGACCATGCTTGTAAATAGCCAGCTGATTTTCCTCAGGCCAGTTGGGATTCTTAACCTTGTTAAGTTCAATTTGAATTATTTGTTTCAGGCATTTGCTCCGCCCCACTAACAGTGGTGCTATAAATACTGCTAATTGTAAATAACGGAATTATTATTATTATTATTATTATTATTATTGTTATTAGAGAAGCGTCGAAACTTGCACATAAATGGAAAGGATATCTAGAAATTTTTAGCCGTCCTCAATTTATAGAAAATTCTAGGCAATATTTGCTTCTCCGAACAAATATTTTACAGTCGTTGGGTGCCCCTGAGTCGACGAGTCGAAGTCCAGCACCAGAAATACCAACCCCATTGTAATCGAGTTTTGATTGCCAATGATCTCTGAATGTCCTTTTCCCTTTTTTCTTTTGGCATTGATTCCGTTTGTTATTATATATCATATATAATATTATATGTCATATATATTGGCACATACCGTAATCAGCGCAATGGCTGCTTGTGAAAGAGATTGCCTTTAAAAACTGCCATGCCTTTTTCTTCAACAAAGAGTCTTGAGCTGAGGCTTGAAAGTTCCAAGTAAACCACTGCCCGACAGATGAGCCATCCGTCGCAATTGCAAAATGCTTGGTTTCAACGCTGGCTTCCGTCCACATTCTACACAATTTACGTCGTATCGGATTCGAAAATATAGAAATTCACGATCGGCTTTTATCACGTACTCCTTTTGCCTCGCTTGTTCTCTGCGAGGACGAAGGTGTGTGTACCATGAGGTCAATTGATATCATGTATCAGATACGTTACAGTTTTTAAAATCAACAATGATTAACTTTATTTGGTCCGGCTTTAGGAAGTCCAGGAACGACATAGGGAATTTTCAAATCTTTGCTGTTCTCGGGCCTGGCTGTTCTGACTTGGCGTGAAAAAAATGTAAATTGGAAATGGTTTAAAGGTCTCGCAGGTCATCAAAATAAGCGAACTTTGTCAGTTGTCAGCTGCAAATAAGCAAATATCAGTTATTTTTTGTCAGTTGTTAGTTAAAATTTAAACCGTTTGTCAGTTGTCAGTCAGTCCCGAATGGGCGGGGGGGGGGGGGGTACTCGACCAACAGTTGGGTATAAGCTTAAGATTTGAAACCCTGACCCTGTTTTGCATAACTCGCTCGCGCGTTCTCGCGAGGCTCGCTTCGCTTGCCCAAATACGGAGGGCTTGCTCGCAGGCTATGTTTTGGAGAAAAAATCGTAAAATCGTATTTCGTCGTTTGTGGGGAGGGACGGGATACGAGCTCCCCTAAAAATGCCCGCGTGGGGGGCTAGCAACTGCAAAACAGTTGGCTTCTTTTCTCAAAATCGGCATAGCGTAGCTTAAGAATCTCACACGCCCGCGTGAGCGGTTTTTTAGCGTCTCTCTCGAGTCTCGCTCCCCGTTTTCAGCCTCGCTCCAGACCTTTTGTTTGACTGTTCACGCGTACTTGTATATGCAGTCTAGTAATACCCTGTTTATAATTAGGACAGACTCTCACTAAATCAGAAACCCTGTTTAGGCCAGGGAGGTTAAAAGCCATACCCTGTCCAATGGCACATCCCTGTGACAGAAGCTCATGCACTGGCAATGAGTCGGGCATCACATATCCTTTCTCCCCTACTCCCCCTTGATCCTCCTGGCCCTGTGCAGTGCACAAAATAAATGCATGGAAATCAAACGATACATATTTTTTGTTATTTCCCATGTGCAAAAGTGCACAAACTTTGCCAGGAGCCCATGACTTCGCTTTTAAGATTTTGCTAGCCGCAGTGAGGAGCCTACTAGGCTCCTGCGGTAGCATATGTAACATTCCATGAGACCTAGTGCTTGCGGACGTCCGGCTGCATTCCGCATGGAAAAACCAAAACGAGCCCATTTAGCTCCTGGCTTTCACAAAGCTAGAGCGCTCCGGTGAACTAAAGAATGGGGCACCGCAGATTTGGAGGGGGTGGTCTGTGTTAGTAGGGATTTTACCTTTCGCATAAATATTTTTAATTTAATATCTAATCCCAAGAGACGAATACTTGCTACTTCCATAAGCATTCATTATTCATTATTACTATAATGTATTATCTTGTCACGTGACTTGCCACACCCATTTTTGACTTTTTATTTCAATCCACATTTACACTTCTCTCCCTCCGGAGGGAGAGAAGCGACGACCCGAAATGCTTCTGCTTTTCACAGGCTACATTTACACCACTTTATAAATAACACTTGTAATTTAATTTATTTTTTGTTAATGACTATCAACGCAAAGTGTATGGAAGTAATCGGGGTTTTCGTAAGTTATCTACTTTTTGTAAACTATAACGTTTCTTGTTATAAAGGAGACTGGGACGAGAGAGAAATATCTAATATTTGAGTGAGGAATGGATCAGTTCACAAATACCTGATTAATTTAGCTTATTTGACTGGAAATGAAATATTGTGGAAGGAAAAACGACTGTGGTCACATTTATTCAAGTGGTGTAATCTGCGAAGAACAAATTTTGCATAATTATGGGCGTGGCTGGTCACGTGATCTGTAAGGTTAAAAATGAAGAAAGATACAGGACAAACAAGATCAAATCACAACATTCAGCATGTAACGAGGACCTAAGCGGAGGTTAGTCCATACAACAAGAATCTTTTGCGTGTTTCCTAACCCCCATGTCGCGTTATTTTAGCTTAATTAAGAAGCAGAACGCAAATCACCGGCACCTTTGTAATTAACCGCCAGAGACGAGGAAACGCGCGTGTTCTTCACCCTCGCAGGTAACTCGCAGGCTCCGGGGGGGGAGGGTACTGCCATATAAGGGCTATATAGGTATGTGCCGCTGTTTTCAAGCAGTTTACTCTAGGACAGGGTATATAAATTAGAGCGTTTGGGTCTAGAATAGGGTATCATTTTTCAGGAAACTGATCAGTTGGTTGAAGATTTTATCTAAACTAGGGAAACAGCTACTCTAGGATAGGGGGGATTTGGGGAGTTTGCTCTAGTATGGGGCAGCAAAATTCAGCTGAACTAGCTCTGGTATAGGTTAAAGGGTTCCAGGGTCCCAGCGGCACTGCCGGCACATCCCCACCAAGAAATTCCTAAAGTACCCCCCCCGCCCTGGGAGCAGGCTTGCTGTGAAGGCTACGTGCTCGTTTTGATGATGGTTCGAGTTCAAACGTGTCGCGTTGACACCAGAGGTAGACATCGTTAACAATATGTATTGTCTTCCCTTTGGTATTGTCCAGGTATAGGGAACGCCCCCAAATATTTCCTACCAATAATTTCTGAAAACAGGCTGAGGGCAGGCTGATACCAGGCTGACACAGAAAATCGAGAACCGAAATCTGAGCACCCAAGAATAATTTCCCTGATTCCTAAATAAGGTGAAATTGCTTAAGTATATTGCTGACATCATAGCCTGCTAACAGCAGACGCATTTCCGGTCGGTCACATGCAAAACGTCACCCTTCCCCCGCTTGAAATAGGATGCGGGTCACGGGAGGTCACCATTGGCAACTATTGTTTGGAGTAAGCCAATGAAATAGCAGACCATTGTTATTATGTCTAAATTTGGAATAATGCCATTCAAGGCCGCCCTAAATATGCTGTGTCTGCCTGCTAGGTTCCTCTTCCCAACCGCAAAGATTCGGAAGCGTCGTCGAAAACGTTGAGGGTTTTATACCCGACCATTTTTTAAAGAATTTTACCGGACAAGTCGCCAAAATACCTCCCTTAAAGGAACTAGATTTCCCCCTCCCCATCTTTGACGGACTGGACCTGAAGCAAGAGCCCGAACCATGCGTATATCCGCCATCATGTACTCCCATGGACGTGCTCGATCTTTATGAGTCCGGCGAATGGTCAGCAGCGAATTCTCCTTGCTCTGAGCTGTTCGAAGACGTTGACCTGAGCTCTGCTTCTGATCTGGACGAGAGTTGCACCTATCTGAACGACATCGCGATTGATTTTGCCTCTTATCTGGATCCTGCCACCTTAAGCACCAGTCCCGAAGATTTGACCAAGTATTTAGCCCCCCGTAAAGATAGCAAGCGTAGAGAAGTAGTGGAACCTTATTTACCCGAAGTAGATCAAGGATACGCTCCAGTTAAAGTAGATTCCAAAGTAAATTCCCCGAAACCGGCTGTGACCTACAAATCAACGACTCTGGCGAAAGAAACCGAGCAGAAGTCGACCAGGCTACCTTCTATCGCCTCGCAACTGAAGGCTCCAAAATATCGCCGAGGCTCTTCGTCTTCCAAGAAAGCGTCGATCGAGAAGGGAAGCGATGAATATCGCTTGAAACGGGAACGCAACAACATTGCGGTCCGCAAGAGCCGATTTAAGAGCAAACAAAAGTATGTGGAGACCCAGCAAAAAGTTGATGAGCTGCAAGAGGAGAATTCTCGTCTACAATCCAAGGTCGATTTTCTCACTAAAGAGCTCAACGTTCTCCGAAGCCTGTTTTCTACCACCGGTGCCTACAAGGATCCAGTAGTTAACGCTGCCCTTCTGTCTCATGGCATTCCGACTCCTCATGGTCTTGTCGCCTCTCGTTAGAATCCCTAACGAATGGAACTGTCTTTTAAACTGATTTGTGACGTTAAAAAAAATGTAGATCTCTGCATATAATGATTATTCGTGTAACATCACAGCCGAATAAATACAGATTGATCGCAATGGATGTGGTATTGCTGTTCTCTTCTTCGAACGCCGTAACTGGTATAGTACTCAATATTTTAATACTCACTTAAGCCATAGTAATTAGCCCAAATTATACCTTTCTAGAACTAATTCCTATACCTTTCTTGAGGGAAAACAAACTCGAATTTGTCTATCGAAAAGTTAGTTTCATTTTCCTTATCGAGATGATCTTTGTACTCTTTTTTTCTCCTTCCTTCCAAAGATCTCCTAAAGAGCATGGAATATTAAGTAATGCCGACTTATTTGCATTCTGCAATGTTTATAAACATGTTCTTTTGTCAGCGATAGGACACCTTTCGTTGTTTCGTTCCGGGTCGAACAAATGCGAATTTGAGGTTGAACTGTTTAGTCTGACTTGAACTACAGCGTAATTAGTTGAACATCTCGTCAAATGACAGCGGCTTAATTTATTCCTGTTTGAAACGGTCTGAAACGCAACTTCTGCTAGAAGAAGATTGAAATTTGTCAAGACGCTAAGGCACCACCACCTTTTTAATAGTCGTATTAAGTGATCTGTACCCCATTGAGATTTAAAATTACTTCACCAAGGAACCCACGCTGAAAGTAGACGAAATGGTAATAAATTCTTTCGGGAGCTAAGCCAATTCACATCAAGTCAATATCTGTGCATTTTGACATTGTTTGCATGATCCAAGCGACCTTAGGCTATTGAATTAGTTTTTTGTTTTGTTTTGTTTTTAAATAATCTAACTGTGGTTTGAGGGAGTTCCTTTGCCAATTCAAGAGCAAAAAGTGAAACTTTTTATTTATCAGCAGCAATGCAGGGTCCAGAACAGAACTATAAACACTGTAGCTGGTGTTACCATTAGGAATCATTCTTACACATGAACAGGAAGAAAAATCATTGTATTGTTTTGAATTTATGTTCTGAGTGCTTTGAAATGTCTTGTCCTTTGCCAGCTATGCAGCATTTGCAAAATACTTTCAGCTGAAAATGTTTCATCACAGATGACCAGTCTCTACAGCAAACTAATTAATGTCGAGTGCAAGTTCACCCAGTATTACTCTCCTGGGGGAAGACTCTTTTATCTGGGGTTAAGCAAAACTGTCTGTCAACAAACAAGGTGTAGATTTCAGAGTCTTGTAGTGTTAAACAGGGTTTGCAGTAATGCACCAATTAGCATCTGGAAGGGGCTATGCAGGACTCGAAATTGCAACTGATATGGTTACCAATGCAACTAACATTTTGTCCTTGGCAACGAAAAATTTTGGTTTAGTCGCCACTTTGGACACCAGATTTCTCTCTGAGTTAGATTTAAATTACATGTAATAGGGTAAAGTTTAAACAAACATTAATAGCCCTCAAAGCCCTTATCTGCAAAGCAGATAAGATGAAATTTTCATCTTATCTGCTTTGCCTTTGTCATAAAAAATGTGCCAAATCGCATAAACAAAGCTAGTTTACCTCCAAATTTATACTGACTTCTGTCTTTGATATTTTCAAACAATCAAATCCGATGGATGGTGCCATACTATAAGCTGCACATCATTTACATTATACAAACTGGCGACCAAAAATTTGCATGTGGTGACTATATTTCTTCCGTTACGTTGGTCGCCAAAAGGTGACCTGAGGATTTATTTAATTTCTAGCCCTGCTATGTGATGCTATTAATGACATAGCACCTTTAAGATGCTATAGCAACAAATTTTGCTATATTTTATTAAGCCAAAACTTGTCTTTGCATAAATTGAATTCCAAAAATAATGGTCCAGGTTAGGCACCGAAACTGTTTCCTGTGGTCTGTTGCTTTATGGATGGCAAGGATGGAAATTGATTGAAACTTGGAAAAGTTGGGCCAACCTTTTCAGGGTTGTGATTAAGAGCCGGGGGCTGGGGATTTCCCCCGGCTACTATGAAAGTGGTCCCCGGCTAATTTCATTGCAAAATAGAATCAAAATAGAACCAGAAGAAATCTCTAGCTGTTTGATTCCCCGCCTACTTGTTATATTTACCCGGCAACTTTGAAATCTCAGTGACAACCCTGCTTTTCAAGTTTTAATACTAAGCCAGCAAAAATGGCCCAAAAAAAATATGATTAGCGCTCCCTTAAGACATTTGATGGATTGAATATAAGTAAAGACGCAAATTGATGACTTCAGCTCAGAATTGATCTAAAATGGCAATATATCCTCGTGCTGTAACCCATTTAACTCTTTAAGCCCAAAGAGTGATCAGCATCAAATTTCTCCTTGTTATATCAATGCTTTGTAAATTAGAGTGGTCATGAGAATTACGGACATGATCACACAAGATGAATATGCTTGATATTTTATCAACTTCTCCCCACTATTCTGTTGGGAATGAATAGGGGCAACAAGTGATAATTCAAATTTTGATCTTAGGGGTTTAAACGGTTTAATGGGATGATTTTTTCTGTTCGTGATGCCCTGAACATGGTGTGAACTTTGGTGGTGTAGACTCTACCTGTGTTCTTTGCACTCATTTCCTGTTTTTCCCGATTGTCTCTTAAAGAATTGTTGATGTTTTTTTAGGAGAAAGCAGGCCTGCCCAAGATCAGCCTTCTCATATAAACAAAAATCATATTATTTTACGAAAAAACAAGGCATGAGCCAGCTGAGCCATCCAAGTAAAGCAGGTCATCCAGCTAACAGAGCAGCCTCACCTTATCCCTTTAATCCCAATAGTGACCAACATCAATGTTCTCTTAACAATATTTATATATTGTCAAGAGAGAAGATTGTGAGAATTAATAAAATGATCACCAAAAGAAAATGCTTTGATCTTTTATCATATTCTCTCAACTCATTCTTTAAGGAAGTGTATAGAGATCAGTTTTTGGAAAATTTGTATGTGGATTTGAGGGCATAAAGGGTTATGTAAACAGGCCCCCGTACATATATAGCATAACATTCTGAGCTAGGCAACAGGCAGCTTTCATCAGGTTTTTCTAAAAAACAATGTTTCAAGTGCCTTTAAATAATTGATGTGATCGGTGTAAAACTGAATTACTATTTTTTCGATTGCCAGTGCTCTCCCCATTATGGTCTTTGGTCCCTCCTTCGTTTTGGGAAATGAATATGAAGACTTTTCCCTGAAAAGCAGCTCAGGTAATCAAGCCTAATTGATAGCCTGATACATTTTTGTCCCTCAATTTTAGCTCAGCAGGTGAGGGACCATTCACCTCTTAAATAGCATACTAATCTTTTTATGTTCCCCCCACCCCCACCCCCAAAAAGAACCATTATTTTCAGTTTCTCTTAGGACTTAGAATTGTCCCAAGAGAAAACTAAAAACAATGGTTATGTACTCTGTCTTCAATGCTCTCTTTCCAAAATGCGTGGCCCATAAAAAGAGAAGCTGTGTATACATTGGTACACTTCCATATATTAATTGATCACCTTTAGTTGACAGGATTGAATCACAGCTTGCATATTTTTTAAACCAACTTATTTCACTTTTAATTAGTAAACCCTCAAGCACTGGTAGGCGGTAAGAATTGTTGCTTCAGATTGTAAATTTTACCAGTTATTGCCTGAGGGGGAGAGCACTGACTGATTATTGATTTCCATTGTTATTTAGTGATATGACAATATTTAAAAATCACTGTTGTTTAGTCAATTTGCCCTGCTGGGTCGACCTGCCGCTGCTAAGTTATAAAAGTTGTAAATTATGTGGGTCAATGAGTTGTTTTGAGACCTTGTGCACTGGGTATTTCCAGCAGTTAATCCAGCTGTGTCAATTCTACAACATCATTTTTCATATGTTGCACTCAGGAAGTGCTTTCCATACAAGATCGTGATAACATGATCAGATGGTTTCCTACCTTAACATCTGACTGTGCTGTGTTTCATCAATACCTGTAATACTTTGTAGAACTATTACCCTTCTATGTAAAAACATTGTTGATGAGATAGTGACAGCTGAAACTGCATAAATTCCCAAATGCAACACAAATATATAGCCTCGTATCCAGCTCAATTTGGTGGCCACAAAGGCTCTCTAATGATAGTCCATTTGCAGCATGTATTTATACATCCAAAACGATACCAGAAATGATCAGATCATGAGAAAATAGCTTCAAGGCCAATTTTAATGTGGGGGACTGTTCATTTTTAGTCAGTTGGGAGGGGGGGGGGGTCATCTCAATTATTTTGGGATATTACAAAGGGGGGCCACCCCCCCAAAATTTTATGATGATAATGGGGGGTCATCATATTCTTCAAATCCCACCGGCGCCCTCCCCCCCCCCCACCCCATAAAAAATGAACGGTCTCTGAATGATCAAAGTCTAGGGTAAATGGGTGCTAGAATGTATGAAAAAATTCCTTGAAAACACAGGAACATGTGACAAACTACAAAAGTGTTGGGAAGGCTGCAACGTTTTTATCTTTTTTATCCCCTCCTTTCCCCAGCCCCTGGCCCAATGTTGAACAAAACTTAATTTACATATGTGCGTAATATTTGCGCGTAATGGACTGTTCTGTTTTTAGGTGTGCGGAGTCATCCGCCTCCTCCCCCTAACCCGTGGGGAGCGCCTGGTGTACGGCGTCTTCCCAGGCCTTCTCGATCAATGCATTTCGGTGACCACATGACCCGAAACGCATAAGTTGTGCAACCTTCTTATTAAACTACTTTTCTCCGGGATGGTTACCACCAGGCAGTGGTTATTTAGGAAGAAGGGAGAAATTTCACCGAGGACGCGCGAGCGCACGCGGGGTGAAAAGCAGAGCCTCCCTCCCCTTGGCGTGTTCCCCTCGCGTGCTCCAAAAAAAAAACTAATCAAAAACCTAAGCGGCGCCTGCCACGCAGGCTAGTGCTAAACCACAAGGAGCGCAGAAGACGTTCTTTGGTCTTCGTTACGCGTTTCGATCTTAGACGTGCTACGTAGCTTGGGCATTCGTCCTCTGGCGCGTTCCCAGGTTTCTCTCCTACTCGTCCCTACGGAGAGAGAGAAGGATGAGTGACACTGCTAGCAGTCTCTCTTTTTCTTCAGATTTTGTTAAGGGGTGCACGCGCCCTGGATCGTCCAGCTGCGAAGACGAGGGAAACGAGGGCGCCATCCACCACACGCATGATCATTTTCGTGTCTTGCGCGTTTCGCTCAGTCGGACTAAGGAAAACAAGAACACGCTTACAGCGGCATTCAGGTCTCGCCTACTTGGAGATCAGATCGAGAAATGAGGAGGCGATTAATTCTACAAGAAACATGATTTACTCGCTAAAGGTTTTTTACTTCCTACTTTATCGACGTCGATACTTTTTATTTGTTTCTGAATTGATTTAGTACGCGTGTTAGCGACGAAAAAAATACCTCTGCGGTAGCAGCCTATACGCGTGTATAGGTACACGAAAATTCAAGGGCCTCGATTCCAGAGATATTACATCATTGCCAGATATCGAAAAAGTGATTTACATGGTACGTCATTTCAATAGCCGAAAATAAACCGCATACTCATCACAAGACTCATTTGCATACAGTGCAAGTTTACAACACCCACCATGGCAATTTTGTATTTTTTTCGACCACTCATCAGTAGTGTTGACTTGCTCCAAAGTAATCAACGCTTTCAAGCGATAGAATTCGTGGACCGACACGTACGTTTCGGAAAAGCTATAAATTTAATCTTTCCTTAGCTTTCTTCGCAAAACATGCGTGGCTTCGATCACACAAAGATTCTTATTAATTAGTCCCAGTTTCCACGGTCTCCGCAAGGAACGGGTGGGACAATGACCTGCCTTTTGCGTCCCAAAATTCCGGGGGGTACTTCCAGAAAAATTGGGAGGGGGTGTGCGGCACGCTTCCTGAAACCCTTATCCCATTTCAGACCAAAATCTGTGATTTTCCCTACCCTATTTGAGACCTGATCAAAAATTTGATACCCTATTTCAGACCTGAAGCCCTGGAGCCCGGCGAGTGACCCGGAGCGCGTGACAAGAGTGTTACGGCACGTACACGGTCGGTTGGCGTAAACATTAAATATTGCCAAATGATGAAAAGGTAGCTAATTCTTTTAAAAAACATACCCAATTCAAGACTAGAGTGCACAAAGCATACCCTATTTCGGACCAAAATGGTCGAAATTGATACCCTATTTCAGACCAAAACAGCTAAAAAAACATACCCTTTGGTGCGGAACATACCTATATAGCCTCCATAAGGGACTACCTCCCGGGGCGAAAAACGCCTTGCAGATTTTGAGTCTGGCTGCTCACGCAAGCGACACTAAATATGATCCGAAAAAAGTGAGACTATTCCTAGTGTAGTCTTATGGATGAGTAGAGTTATAACAAGCTATTCCAACAGTAGCTTACAGTTTTTAGCCGAATGTTTTCTACTGAATTAAGAAAAACTTTGGCTCCTCCGGTAGTTTTAATATTTCTACATCCGCCAGGTCGGCTCATGCCATCAGACATTCAGACAAGCGTGACCTAATTTTCTGATTACATGAATTTATTTTACTTAAAGCAATAGTAATAATAATAATAATAATAAAACCCCGCTCCCAAAGACTATAAACCAGGCCGAACATCCTGCCCGAGTCTACCAGGAATGGACATCATCATCATAATAAAAATGATAATGATAATGATAATGATAATATATAATAATGAGCGCTCGGTTTTTAATTACAACACACTGAATGAGGGCATAATCTTTTACTCATATCGTATCATGTATGTTGTACCCTGTGTCACCAGGAACGTCTCTATCGCGTAGAAAACTGTTAGTTCTTGTCAGGAGCCCATGAGTACTCTTGTGCTCCTGTTCTTGTAAGTTTGTGAAGCTGGTCTTTTCTGTGAAAATAATGAGTTTAAAAGATCCACCGATATAATCACGGTATTACTTTCATAAATTTAAAAACATGATTAAACCAGTCAGCAGGAGATCGGCTGCAATGCCTGACGGTCTTGCATTTTGATTGGTCGCTGAGTCACCCCACTGTTTTTTCATATACTCGTATCCCGTCTTTGCATGCTCATATGGACTGACTGTTGAGTAATCTGATCCCAATCCTTTACTCACTACCATACTAGCCGGCCTGCGACCAGCAATCATATTGACTCAGTAACGACCAGAAAGCCACTTGTCCACCAGTAACTGTCACTGGAGATTAGATAAGACAAACAGAGATCGATACAGGTTGGACAACGGTAAGTTTCCTCGTGGCCTTATGATTTCGTAATTGGTCTCAGTTCAGTGGTTAAAGCCTGGGGGAACATATTATTCATAATGATCCCAATAAATAAATAGGCCCTTTCAGGACAGCCTAGACTGGTTTTCCTTATTTTTAGCGAACTTAAATTTCTCACTCTTCAGTTTATTGCGTTTTCAGTGTTGGAAACTGAAAGTTAGTTCAGAATTGTCGGAAACGAGTGAGGATCGAAGAGGCAAGCAGCAATTTTTTTTGAATATTCACTTCGCAAAAACAGTCATAAACATTTCAAGCTATTCGGGATTCTACTTTTATATCTAGGCAAAAATGTTTTTCAACGTACAATCTGATTACAGACGGAAGTGACAGCTAATCCAGCGATCATAAGGACTGGGTTCGATAGAATCATTTAAATTCTGCTGATCATTTGCTTTCTATCGAGTGACCAGTGTCTGGAAGGCTATTCTCGGGATAAATTACTGTGCGGGATTCGGGAAAACGCGAAATCTCTTAACGGCATACGGGATTTGACTGCTACCCGGGAAGCGGGACTCACAGGATGCGGTATTGGGAAACAAAATGGTATCATGTGGATGTTCGGGATCCGGGATTCTCGCAAAGAAGCGGCCCCTCCTTCATACCCTGAGTGACAAGTGTCCAGCCAAATCAATTAGTCTAATTTCCAGCATTTTATGATGGCAAAAGAGGATAAACCTCCTGAGCTTTATCCTCTCTTGATGATGGTCAATGATAGGCTAGAGCTGTTTATCGCTATTTAGCGGTTTGTACAGCGTCACGAGCCACTCAAAGTTTGTAATGTTCTTTTTGTAGATTTTCAACATGAGAAGTGGAATACTGGTCGTGTTGGACATGGTTCTGTTAGCGTCAGCTTTGAAAACGGAATCACCTCAGTGTCACGTGGAGACCAATGGCTGTAGTATACCCAAAGGCGTTCCCAGACCATTTGTGGAGACATTCACCCCTGCTTGCAACAGACATGATGTCTGCTACCGTTGTGTAAGTGTGATATCCAGCCTCTTCCCCAGGACGCTTTTCCCTGGATGTGAGGCGGGAAAAGGCCCTGGCATCGGTCGGCCAATCCGTCATTTTGATTGGTTGATTGATTTAGGTAATTCAAAGCCAGGGGAAAGAGCCCTAGGGACAAGGTTGTGTGATATATTACTTTGGTACATTACTCAGGTGTTCATACATGATATAGAGATTTCAACGGGGGGAAAATTACATCAATCTGTTTCTCCACCGATATTGTGACCTGCTTTTAAAATAAAAAGGAGCTGTGTCGCAAAATTTATGAAATTCAACCAGTAGGATTTTTTGGTGGGAGTGTGCCTCCCGGTTCTCCAAATCCTAACCCTATTTCGGATAAAAAAAAAAGTCATTTTTCACACCCACCCATTCTCAGACCCAGTCTTTAAGATTATAGGAAATTATATCATCATTAGATTACAACAGCAACAAAAAGGATTTCGTCAAATCGATTTCGAATAATTCGGATATTTCTCTTTCTTTCTTAAATTCATTTGGAATTGAAGCGATAAATACGTTCATACGCTCCCGTATGTCTGGAACCGGGTATGATTTTCGAGGGAACTGGTCTGAGTCACGGCCGTGAGACTGTACCGGTTACACTACGAGCCTCAGCGCTCCGGAAGTTAAAAAATTCGTACCGTCTGGTTGCTATGAAGTGACGTAATCATCCCGTTGAGTATCCATCATCGTAACACTTTTGCGGTCAACTACCGCAGCGCTCGTAAAGTACTTTAATTAAAACCGTGGGTTAAAACCCTGTAGGAAGTCTGTTTATTTTTGAGTCGATTAATGCACTGCTGACTTCCACGAGGTCAACTTTTGCATAAATTATCAAACATTATGTTAAGCGGGAAATCTACCTATGGTTCGCGGGAGAAGCAACTTCTATAGCGGCGCAAGACAAATGTTTCGAGAGTCGAGGATGTGCTCACAAACTATTCACTATGCGACGAAAGGAGATATCACTGGCATGATACCTGCATGTAATGGTAATTTTTATCAATCCAGGTCGCGCCGTGTTCGCTCGAGAACGCTGTGACAACTTCGTTTGGCGCGCTTCTCAATACTTCCAAAACATGTTGTAATCGGTAAGTAGACTTAAGCACTTAGTATCGCCAAGCCATTCGAATCAGTGTATACCCAATTCTTTGTCTGAAGATTCGCACAAACAGATGTACCAAGTACATCTGGATGGAAGAGGAAATTGTCTCCCTAAACGCAGCCAGGTTATATTTTGAAGGATGGCGGCACAATTCAACGCGTCTTCCAGGTCAGCCCTAATTTATAGTTCGTAAGAGTATAAATTGCGATCTCCCTATTTTCGCTTAAGCTTTCTTTGATAAAACTTCAGTAGAAACAAAACAACGCAGACATGACATTCTCCTGCATGAGACACAATCGGCTGAAGGAAATATCTGTTTACAAGTCGGGTAAATTATCCATTCTTGCGCACCGCAAAATCAGCTAAAATCAGTCGCTGGAAACCTGGCATATTATTAAGCCTGAGCGCTTCTAAGAATAACACGTTTAGAACTTCGACAGGTAGAAGACAAAGGCAGTTGTTCTATATCCTTTCTGGTTCATCCAGGTAGAAGTCGTGGGATTTTATTATGCCTGAGCGCTTCTAGGATATATAACACGTTTAGCATTTCAACCCGTAGCCGTAAAAAAAATTTAGGTAGTTGTTCTATATCCTTTCTGGTTCATCCAGGTAGAAGTCCTGGCATGATATCATTATGCCTGAGCGCTTCTAGGATATATAACACGTTTAGCATTTCAACCCGTAGCCGTTAAAAAAAATTTAGGCAGTTGTACTATATCCTTTCTGGTTCATCCAGGTAGAAGTCCTGGCATATTATTATGCCTGAGCGCTTCTAGGATATATAACACGTTTAGCATTTCGACCCGTAGCCGTAAAAAACAATTAGGCAGTTGTTCTATATCCTTTCTGGTTCATCCAGGTAGAAGTCCTGGCATGATATCATTATGCCTGAGCGCTTCTAGGATATATAACACGTTTAGGATTTCGACCCGTAGCCGTTAAAAAAAATTTAGGCAGTTGTTCTATATCCTTTCTGGTTCATCCAGGTAGAAGTCCTGGCATGATATCATTATGCCTGAGCGCTTCTAGGATATATAACACGTTTAGCATTTCAACCCATAGCCGTTAAAAAAAATTTAGGCAGTTGTTCTATATCCTTTCTGGTTCATCCAGGTAGAAGTCCTGGCATATTATTATGCCTGAGCGCTTCTAGGATATATAACACGTTTAGCATTTCAACCCGTAGCCGTAAAAAACAATTAGGTAGTTGTTCTATATCCTTTCTGGTTCACCCAGGTAGAAGTCCTGGCATGATATCATTATGCCTGAGCGCTTCTAGGATATATAACACGTTTAGCATTTCGACCCGTAGCCGTAAAAAAAAATTTAGGCAGTTGTTCTATATCCTTTCTGGTTCATCCAGGTAGAAGTCCTGGCATGATATCATTATGCCTGAGCGCTTCTAGGATATATAACACGTTTATCATTTCGACCCGTAGCCGTAAAAAACAATTAGGCAGTTGTTCTATATCCTTTCTGGTTCATCCAGGTAGAAGTCCTGGCATGATACATTATGCCTGAGCGCTTCTAGGATATATAACACGTTTAGCATTTCGACCCGTAGCCGTAAAAAAAAATTTAGGCAGTTGTTCTATATCCTTTCTGGTTCATCCAGGTAGAAGTCCTGGCATGATATCATTATGCCTGAGCGCTTCTAGGATATATAACACGTTTAGCATTTCAACCCGTAGCCGTAAAAAACAATTAGGCAGTTGTTCTATATCCTTTCTGGTTCATCCAGGTAGAAGTCCTGGCATGATATCATTATTCCTGAGCGCTTCTAGGATATATAACACGTTTAGCATTTCAACCCGTAGCCGTAAAAAACAATTAGGTAGTTGTTCTATATCCTTTCTGGTTCATCCAGGTAGAAGTCCTGGCATGATATCATTATTCCTGAGCGCTTCTAGGATATATAACACGTTTAGCATTTCAACCCGTAGCCGTAAAAAACAATTAGGTAGTTGTTCTATATCCTTTCTGGTTCATCCAGGTAGAAGTCCTGGCATCAGTGTTATTATTATGCCTGAGCGCTTCTAGGATATATAACACGTTTAACATTTCAACCCGTAAACGAAAAAAAAAATTAGGCAGTTGTTCTATATCCTTTCTGGTTCATCCAGGTAGAAGTCCTGGCATATTATTATGCCTGAGCGCTTCTGGGATATATAGTAGCAGTTTGACCCGTAGAAAAACCAAACTCAGCCGTTCATTTTGTAGGAGATATTTAAGCGTTTTTGTCTGTGTTAGCAATGTGATCGACTTTATACGCAGACCTTAATAATATGTTTTTTTCTTTGACGGCACTGAATAATTTTAGCCGAAACTTGAGCCGTACATTTGTTTAATGCCGCGCTTTAATTAAATTTCTCGCCCTAGAATGATGACATGATGGCGCGAAAATTGACGCCTCTATCGTATTAGATGCGAAATATGATCAGAGATAAATGGAATAGTGAATGTTACAAGCTTCTGAGTATCCAGCTGAGATAGGGGACTTTTAGTCCCCTATCTCAGCTTGATAAACAAAATTTTTTTGGTTGCTAAGACGGTGCGGCTCGTTATGTTCCGACGAAATCAAGATCTTAGAGATCTTGTTTTTGACCGCGGGAAGAATTAAGGATTCGCAAAAACTGAGCACAATGCGTATTGTCTGTATTGGGAAAGAAAATGATATTTGGGACAGCGATGAAAGAAGTTTGGGATGCGGCATTCTTGTGGAAAAAAGGATCGGGAATAAGACATCAGGACCCCCTTTCCAGAACCTGTTAAACCATTATCTTCTCTTAAATGCGCTTATCAACATCTCATTAAAACCTTTTTCAGGGGATCATTACAGATGGAATCGAAAACAGTGTGACAAGGCCTTCAAATCCGACATGAAAAAAGCCTGCAGAAATCAGAGCGGCTGGTTGAAGAGACGTAAATGCCGGTTCACGGCAGGTCTGTTCTACGTGGCAGTTCGAACGTTCGGGAAATCGCATTATCGGATTCCCTCAAGTTCTTGGTGCCAAAGCCGGTGCACTGAAAACTATGGAAATCCTTTCTAAAAAATCAGTGGCCAAAGAAGGACTTAATAAATTAATGAAGATATGCATCAGACATTTGATAAGATGATAGTGGGTTGAATTCCAAAAAAGAACGCTAGCGATAGCTTGTAGCGAAATTAAAATAATACAAAACAA